CAGTCGGCTGGCAACCAATATGCGCCCCTATAATATTATGCTTGATAAACGAGGGCCGAAGGAACGACCCGAGCGCCGCAGGTGCGAGGTTTGTCTAGGGGAGTCCGGGGGCATGCCCCCCAGGAAAATTTATGAATTTAGAGTCTCTGAAATGCCATTTCCTGGACTTTGGGGGAAGATTTGACAGAAATCTGATGGTCAGGAAACGGCGGCGTGGCCCCCAGGCCCCCCCCTGCCAGCACGCCACTGCTTTGCATCAGAATTTGATTCGCAACTCACTCAGAAATCGAGTAAAGTAAAATTGCGATGGGCTTGCGTTCTCGTTTGATCCGGACTTAATAATACTGATCACTGTAAACATGAGTACTACATGTAGTCTTGACAGTTTTTTTTTATTATATCATTCATCAGCATGCATTTCCAATTGCCATTTGTTATTTGGCATGAACTGAATATATTTTGTCGCATGAAAAATTGTCAGCCAGTGAGAGGCGAAAGGCCGGTAAAATTTACTGTAAATCACTGTAGGACTCAAAATAGCCGGTGCGAGGCGAAAGGCCGGTAGGATTTTAACGGCAATTGCTAGATAGTATACTTCAAAATAAGGTTTCCGTTTTTATATCAATTTTTAAAATAAGTTAGGGTTAGGTTAGGGTTTAGGTTAGGGTTAGGTTAAGGTTAGGGTGAGGGATGATATTAGGGTTAGGGTTTAGTTTTGAGTTAGGATAGTTTTTTCTACGTTATAAAAACGGAAACCTTAGTTTGAAGTATACTATCTAGCGATCAACTTTAAATCACTGTAGCAAAAGTTCCGTGTACGTACGCACCATAATGCATTGCGCTTGAGCTCGATGAGACACCAAACTGGGGCTCGCTCAGGCTCGCCCCAATAAAATACTTGAGCTGCGCTCACCTTTCGTGTTTTATAACTGATAAAGCACTCCTGCTCGTGTTTTAAATAGTATATAACTTGACGTTGTTGAAATGTTTTTTTGATCAATTGCTGCAGTAATCATATAGAGGGCAAAATTACTCGAATATGATTGGCTAATGAGGAGGGCATTTTTTCTTAATTCAGGGCAAATTAAATTACTTGCACCTGATTGGCTGAGACACGCAAACAGCGGGAAATTTCGTCAGTTGAAAACAAGCAAAACAAAACTGCAATGGCTTCTCACTTTGGAGTTGCCGATAGCGACGTTACTATTCAAAACTTAAAAGCATCTAGTGAAAAACGAAATATGAGAAAAAGCACCAATTTATGGGCTTGGGTGTTTAAAAAGTGGGTAGCGTTCAGGAACATGGGCGAAAACCTGAAGACGGGCAAAGTTGAAGAACTTGATGAGGTGTTGTCGAGATTTTTTTACGCTGAAGTACGAAAAACAAATGGAGAAGAATACGAGCCTGGCTGCCTTACGAGTTACGGTTATGCAGGGCGTAGGAACAGGCCTCCAAGTTTTGCCAAGTGCCCTTTTTCAGGGAGCAAAGTGCCCTTTTCTTGCGTGAAAAATGTCTTAACGATTGTTTCTTTTGCCCAAAGAGCACTTTTGAAAACTTAAATTTATGTTATTTTCCGGAAAAGGGCTTTAAAATTCCAACTTTAAATATTACAAGTCTTCTAAAACATATAGATGAGTTAACAGTTGTAATGACAAACAATCCATTCGAACACGGTTAATAGTAGACCGTGATTCCGAAGTACTTGCGATAAACGAGAGTCGCTTAGACAACAACATCACGGATATTTTTAATTAGTATTATGAGCAAATTTGAACAATTGCTTGAAAATCTCGAAGACTGTGATAAAGAATTAATTGTACAGGGTGTATAAAACAAACTGAACAGATTTGAAATTGCTCTCAATTTCGCAAAACAGCTCGTGGTATCAAGTTTTTGTTATATGTAGATTCCTTGAGTACCCATAATGTAGAATAATGATAAAAATACTCGAACTCAAATTGTGTAAACCAGGGAGGTGTTTCATTTCCAACAAACTAAAAATGGCTTGCGCACGAAATTTGAAAGCTTTAATAGTATTTTGAGTTAATGGATGGAAAATTCGTTGGGCTTGTAATTACTGTACAAAAGTTCAGACAATTTGCTGCAGTTTAAGCCCTTTGACTATTCATTTTCCCCCGAAAAATCAGCCTTTCGCATGCTTAAAGGACATTGGCAATAAAAAATTAGTTTGTCTCATTCAAAAGAACTCTTAAAATTATATATTAAACTCTATTATCGATTTGTCATATCTTGCTTAGTTCTCGAAATATTTAGACCAAAATTAATGAGCTTTCCGCCATCTTGGAAAAATTCTTTACCTCATTAACTATGGTTTTGATGACGTCAGGAGTTGGGTTAACCATATAAAACTACTCTAAAATGATCGAGTAACAATCCAAAATTGTTTGAAATGTTTTTAATCATTTCTAAATCTCAGACAGCAACCAGAAACGACGTTTTGGACTCATATTGATCGAAATATTTTGAAAACTAAGCAAGATATAAACTATCTGTAATAGAGTTTAATGTATAGTTTTAAGAGTTCTTTCAAATGAACTAAACTAATTTTTTATTGCCAATGTCCTTTAATTCATGCCTTTACCTAATTTGCATATTGCTGACATAAGCAAATTAGGCAAAGATCGACTTGTATGTGGGCAAGTCTAGGGAGATCCTGAGGCTGATCCATTTACTGTTCGGAGTCAGGGGCGGCGCTACAGGGGGGGAGGAACACCCCCCACTCGTCAGGTAATCGGCAAATTGTTATCTCAGTCGGCAAAACTGGATTGGCTAAAGATAACCACTGAAGAAACCAAAATTGACCTCCTGAATAATTGAATTCAAACCGAATATCACGAATAGCATGCATCAAAGAAACCACACATGGAGCAATGCAAATTTTTTCGAATACAGTATCTTCACCTCTGGCAGCTAGTCCAAAAACACAATATTATTGAAATCATAATTAGGTAATTAAATTTGTTTGGTTGTTGTTGTTGTTGTTGTTGTTGTTGTTGTTGTTGTTGTTGTTGTTGTTGTTGTTGTTGTTGTTGTTGTTGTTGTTGTTGTTGTTGTTGTTGTTGTTGCTTATTATACTGTTTTATAAAAAAGGCAATAAAGTCGGTTTTCCACTAGCGAATTTTCTCGCACGAAGCGACCTTTTTCCTTTAAACTGACGGGTATTGTGTATATACGTTAGATGTTTGAAGATCAAATTTCGCGCGTCTGGAGTTAAAATTTGGCTCCAACTTTCGAATTTTCCGGCTGGAGGTAACGTTCCAGTCAATGATTCGTAAATGCGTGATTAATATTGCTCCAAGACGTGGAACAGATTTTAAGAAATGCCGAGATGTGCCGACCTAGGTCAGATTTAGGTCGGCCCTCTTTTGCCGACCTCAATTTTGACGGTTTTGACTTTTCGAGGGCTGCAAAATGGATGCCGACAGGAATTTTGGGTTTTCTGATTATGCGTGTCTCAGAATGATGCAAATGCCATTTCCGGGATTCAAATTTAAAAATTTTCCGTGCCTTCGGCACGAGCCTCCCCCCCAATATTTCATAAAATGTCCGCCACTTGCACACACGGTGGCTTAAAAGGTCTTAAAACTGTTTATTCTACCGATAAATAAAGGGTTTTTTATTGACTGGGATTTCAATAACTCGGACTGGGATTTCTAATAAAAATCCAACTGGGACTGGGATTTTGCTAAAATTTCAGGTGGAAAATGTGATTGGGACCCCCCCCCTTCAGGACCCTCACTATAGGCTAATAACTCGGGAAAATTACCA